AGACTTTTGTTCAAGTTTGTTAAAGTCTCCTTGGCTGTCCTCTAGGTCACTGGTGTGGTTCTCTGCCTCCTCCAGTCAGTTGGCAAAGTCCGTGAGTCTGCTACTGGTTTTTGTTATCTAGTCCCTAAGCTCTTATATTTCCCTTTAGTGTGTGGTCTTTATCTTCTCCATCATTTCATCCTTTTTCTGTATTGTTTCCCTCATATCCCTCGGATGACTCCAAGCAGCATTCTGAAATTTTATTTAGTGACAGATCAATATTTGCTTATTCAATGCATGTCATTAGTTTCAGTACATCTTCCAACATTGTCTTTTTTCTCCTTTTTTTTGTTGAGGTCATTGGAGCTGCTTGCTGTTTTGTGTCCCAATGTTTTAGAGGATCCTGGTGCCATTTTCCAGAGAGTTGAAGAGCACTGGGCTCTCTCTGGGAGACTCGTAGGAATGCTTCTTCAAACTGCCTGCAGTTGATTACACTATGAGATTGGCCTATTGATTTATCCTTCTGTGGCTTCACTCTTTCCCTAGTCAACCAGTATTCTGTTATTTGGAGGGCAAGTTGGATGGTCCTCTCAGGGGACACTGTTTGGGTGGCTGTGGACCCACAAGGATGGTGCTGCACTGGGTGATCTCACAAGAAGCTGTGATGGTGTGGCCCACGGCAGCTTGGGTTGCTGCAGAGGTTGTTCAGGGGTGTCTGCTGTAAGGGGTGGTGGTGCCACAGAAGGCAGGTAGGTATACCTGCTTTGGTGTAGAGCACCGCAGATGGTGGGAAGAATTGGCCTGTTCAGCTAGATCTCCATGGAGGTTGAGCACAGATTCCCACAGCAACATGGAGTGCTGTAGAGTATTGTCTGAGCTGCCTTAGGCCATGTGAAGCACTGTGGCAGGTGGGAGGAAATTCTCTCAGTCACATGAGGCCGGAGGATGTGTAGGAGCTCCCCCAGCCACACAGGTGGGACATTCCCAAAAGAAGTTGCATGGGATTTCCCCAAGGAAGATTGGTGGGATATAGGTGTAGCAGAGGACAGGTGGGCAGGACTTCCCTGGAGGAAGTTGGGTGGGCTTTCCCCATCCTCGTGTTACACTGCAGAGGGTGGAGCTCCCCCAGATGGGATGGAAGAATTCACTTCCTTGCAGCAATAGAACTAAGGCCTTCAATTCTTGTGGGCTGTTAAGCGGGGCCATCCTCAACTTCTAGAGGCTGACTAAATATGTTTTCCATATGATTTTCCCAATGTGAGCACTTTCAGCAAGGAAGAGATTCTCCTGGCATGATGGGCATTACAATTGTATGAAACATAATCATAGATATGTAATATTTAAATCCCATCACCTTTTCCATGTTCCTCTGGCTATCAAGAAGTCACAGGTGATGCCCATATTCAAGGAAAGAGGATTACAAGGGTGTGAACACCAAATCTTGGCCTGGTAGGGGAGTGGGGGAGGGCGGCTACCTTAACAGTCTTGTTACCACAACATTGTATCTACAAGAAAAGCACTGTTGCTTGAAGTCTCTTTGGAACTATCCCTTGTGCTCTCACTCACTGCCATCAAATAGATGCCAACTCACAGAGATCCTCTAGGACAGGACAGAAATGCCCCTGTGAGTTTTCAAGACTATTTACCAGAGTGGAAAGCCCCATCTTTCTTGCTCAGAGTGACTGGTGATTTTGAACTGTTGACCTTGTGGATCCCAGCATAACACATAACCAGAGCTCAATGCCACCAGAGCTCCTTCCTCTTCCTTGTGATACACACCTCTATTTTATTTGTATTCCATCTCAGATTCTCCTATAGGTTAAAAAAAAAGAAGCACAAAAGTCCTCAGTTGTACTGATTTCACAAGAGACCTATCTAATTGCTTTTAAATTTTAACTGTGTTTAAATCTCTGTATTGCGATATGGAAAGGTATCTGTAATTTGGTAAAGACAATAAGTAAGAAAAGATAACCAATTCCTATTTTGTTTAGCAGACACTTTTTAAAAAATCATTTTATTGGGGGCTCATACAACTCTTATTTTGATCCATACATACATCCAATGTGTCAAGCACATTTGTATATTTGTTGCCACCATCATTCTCAAAACGTTTTCTTTCTAGTTGAGCCCCTGGTATCAACTCCTCATTTTCCCCCCTCCCTCCCACACCCTTCCTTCCCTCATGTACCCTTGATAATTTTGTTTCATGTCTTACACTGCCCGATGTCTCCATTCACCCACTTTTCTGTTGTTCATCACCCAGGGAAGGGGTTATATGTAGATCACTGTGATTTATCGCTTCTCTCATTATTGATCCTGAAGGGTTTATCCATCCTGGATTCTCTCTAAACTGTTTCCAGCTCTGAACTGTACCAGTGTACATCCTCGGGTCTAACCGGATTTGTAAGGTAGAATTGGGATCATGATAGTGGGGAGGAGAAAGCATTAAAGAACTAGAGGAATGTTGTATGTTTCATTGGTGCTGTACTGCACTGAATGGCTCATCTCCTCCCTGTGATCCTTCCATAAGGGGTTGTCCAGTTGCCTACAGATGGGCTTTGGGTCTCCACTCTGCACTTCCCCATATTCACATTGATATGATTTTTTTGTCCTGGGTCTTTAGTGCCTGATACCTGATCCTATCGACACCTTGTGATCACACAGGCTGGTGTGCTTCTTCCATGTGGGCTTTGTTGCTTCTGAGCTAGATGGCCACTTGTTTATCTTCAAGCCTTTAAGACCCCAGATGCTATATATTTTGATAGCCGGACACCATCAGCATTCTTCACCACATTTGCTTATGTACTCGCTTTGTCTTCAGCAATTGTACGGGGAAGGTGAGCATTGTGGAATGCTAGTTTAATAGAACAAAGTGTTCTTGCATCGAGGGAGTACTTCAGTAGAGGTCTGATGTCCATCTGGAAGAGATATTTTACAATGAATCTATCCTAATCAGTGAAAACTATATTATCTGATACCTGCGAAGTTTTTTTGACTGATAGCTAATCCCTATAAGAAGGGAGGAACTACAGATCAAAGTTAAAAGATAAATGATCAAAGATGGACTTTAAAAACAATTGTGCCCAAAGAGTATTGTAAACTTGATTATGGCAGATGTAATTGGGCTAAAATGTAATCCTGATCATTTGATCTCCCTTTTAACCTGTTCTAAATTTTTTCTAGATTTTAGTATTTCCTGCTACTTTCTGGATTGAGGTTTTATCCTCTGGTTTATTTTGTTAATATTGTTCCCCTTTAATTTTTTGTTTTTGTTTTTTTGCTGTTTTCATTATTTTCTTTTGAATGTTATCTGGTATATGAAATTCAGGATAAGTAAATCTGTAGAGACAGTAACTAAATTAATCGTTTACTGGGGTTGTGGGAGGGGAATGTGGAGGGAAATGGGGAGATGATAAGGAGTACAAGAAGGAATAAAATGTTCTAGAATTGATTGCAGTGATGACTATACAGCTTTTTTATAGGACTGAACTGTGGAAGTATATGACTGGTGAATTATATGTCAGTAAACTATTTTTTTAAGAAAATGAAAAGTAGAGAAAATAATTCTGCCACAGAGACTCATTACTGATAAGAATGATCAGCGTTGGCTGCTCTGCCCACAGCGAATGGAAATAAACTATCTGTGAATCAAAAGTAGTGGCCATCCCAGGATAGCGTAGGCATCAAGGGCATGGCTGATTAAATGATAGATTGACACTCTTCCCTGAGAAATGACATGATGATTTCTTTGTTTATATAGGGAGAGGTTCAATCTCTATGTAACATTTGAAAACAATAAGCAAAAAAGTAAAATAAGGGGTATTATGCCATTGCATTGTTTTTAAAATGGGAAATTCATACTTTAAAGTCAGGAAGGAAGCAACAGTGCCAGTGTCCTAGTGGTAAAGTTTATAGTGAGTCCTCTTTTCTAAGGTAGTCTGTATCTTATTTGTAAACCATAAACATGTGTTCCTTGTGCAATTGAAAAATAGGCATTGTCAATTGAAAGAGAGAGAAAGAGAATTTTGTACTAACGTGTGGGCCCCAGGCAATTAACTGTGAGAAAATGTGATACCTGAAATAAACCAGAGAATGTTTATGACTTGAGGCTTAGACAATACTTTAAAGTTTAAAAGTCATGTGAGAAATACTCTTTGGGATCTAGCCTGGCATGCACGAAGGCAGGAAGCACAGAGGTAACATCAGCTCTAGGAAGTTAATTCTCGCAGGCATCTGTGGTTTCTTAATTGTATCTAAGATGAGGGGCAACGAATAACCCCCTTCCTCGCAGCCTCCTATGTTTTCTACCTGTCCTGTCCCTGTCCGGATGACCTTTATGCATAAAGAAAAGCATTCTTATTCCTTTTAAAAGAAATTTCAAACTTTCTAATGTATTTCCCAAAATAAAAAAGAGAGTGTAAAATAATAGAGGGGGAAAATAGAACCTTTTCAAATTATAATCTTTCTTAATGCTTGGGAATAGCAACTAAACTCCCTGTTTTCCAAGCCCTTCACATTTCATTAAGTGTAGCCGTCTTCCTCCCCTCCAGAACATAAGGTCCCAAATGTATTTGACCCACTACACCCTTTTTAGACTAAAAATAAGAAACAAAAACTCAGTGCCACCCTGGCAATTAAAAACATGTAGACTACACACCATCATCTAAAATAAAGTGTAGGGATCTGTTTTTGCAGCCCCCTGGGGTGTCCCAAGGCCCCCAGGGGTGGTATTGTGCACTTTGAGAAACATTGCTATGGACCGTCTCTGGGCATCTCTCTGGTTGCATTCTGTTTACCACAGAGCCCACTAGTGACTCTACTCTCTCAGTGGAGAGTGAGATAAAATCAGGCAGAGGCTATAGAACCTTTAAGGAATTTCATTTCAAAGAACCTGGGAGGAGACATAAAGCAGACTGCCAAGAAAAAAGGTAACAGTGACTCCCTAGGTAATTACATTTAATATAACTGCATGCTTTTATTATGGGAATTAAAATCTGAAAATGTCCATCTCTTTCTCCTAGGAGGAGTGGCTGACCTGTCAGAGAAACTGGCTCTACCTGGAAAGCATTTTTAATGCTCCTGATATTCAGAGGCAGTTGCCAGCAGAGGCCAAGATGTTCCTTCAGGTGGATAAGTCATGGAAAGAAATCATGAGGAAGGTGAACCGGCTGCCTAATGCTCTTCGAGCGGCTACTCAGCCAGGTATAAAACAAACTGTGTGTTTATTTTTTATCAATGTACACCATATGGAGTGGAGTACCAATGGGAAAGTGTGAGTGGATTACTAGAAGTATCATTACCAGCCAGGGGATAGTCTTGCATAGATTTCAGGATCTTAGCCGATCGGGGCCATTTTATTACCATTTTATCTTGACCTTTTCACTTGATACAAAGACTAAAGAAAACTTCAAGCAGTAAATCTTTCTCATCTTGAAAATGTTCCTGAGTTAGGCTGCATCTGATGAACTACCCCGGGGCAGATTTCCCAACTCTTGTTTGATTGCCCATGAATATTCGTAAATCTCAAATTAAAAAAAAATAGGCAACGGAGATTCTTTACCCTTTGACTCCCACTTGCCATCTCCCCAGCTCACTCGCTCAGGTGCTCTAAGCAAGCAATCATTTGACTTCATAGAAACCTTCAGACCATGGCTCTATCCATCTGAACCTTCCTGGTGATCCCACGTCACTCTTGACCCAGAGGAGTCTGCCATCCATTAGTAAAATGCTCCCTTACAAAATCTCTTCTATAATCTTTACCTGCCTTCACCTTAATTTTAGGTGAAACCATTATCTAAAGCTCCTTCCCTGCACCTGAGAGGCTGGTTCTTGTGGAAAGAAGCCCGATCCAAACAACCAGTGGTTGACGAGCCGGGCTCGTGGCAGCCCCATCCTGAGTAAATCTGATCCCACTGGGTCCTCGATGGGTGGTTTTTGAGAAGGAGGCCACCAGCCCTTTCATTTTTGGTGCCTCTATGTGTGGTCAAACCTCCAGTTTGGGTTAGCAGACAAGCACATTAACCATCAGTGCCGCCCAGCATGTCTCACTTTAGGTTCCTGATCCCAGCTCTCAAACAGGAAGGAATGACACTCTCTGATATCTTACTCTGTCTAGATCTGTTTGCTTAACTTTCCACGGTGACCATTTCACACCACGTTTTCTCTTCGGACTTCTGGTATCATTCTGTCTAGAGGAGGAACTTGCCTTGTCATTGAGAAAACAAATTGGAAATCCCCACCTTCCCAAAATTAACTTTGTGCATTCACTAGCATTTTTGCCCCTCCATGTCCTTTGACTCCCTCTGTTATCAGTGAAAGAACCAGTCTTGCTTTTAGCAGAGCCAGCCCCTCCACGTATGCTCTGGATCCCAGGCTTTCTCACTCCACCCAAGCCCTTTGCTCCTGCAATCATTCCCTTGCTCCTTCACAGTCTCTTTTTCTCTTGAATTCTTTCCATGAGCCTATCAATCAAAAGGGCAAATTATATCCCCAAATCCATTTTAAAAAATCCTTTCATAAACTCCCTCTCTCAAGTGTCTTTACCTCTCTGTACAGTAAAGCGTCCAGAGTTCTACACGCATTTGCTGTCTTTACTTTCTGCGTTTCATTTTTGACCCCTTTGGTAGCTCTGTGTACAGAATGATTTTGAAGTAAATTATAGACATCATGATAAATATCACTAAATATTTATGTATGCAATTTGGAAGCTGTAAAATTATCTTAGTACAAGTTTGTAGACATGAATGTTTTGCTCTCTTGCATGTTAACAACCCTTTGTCTCTGGCCTTCACGTTGGAATGTCCGTTTTGCCAGATGTAATTTTGGATTACATTTTACAACCTTGGGGATCTTGTAGTTGTAGCTTCACTGTTTTCTGACAGTGGCTACTTCTGTCAAAGAAAGGGCTGTTATTATTATTATTCCACTCTTACTTTCTGATGAAACTCAAGAATTGTGGCCTTCAGTATGGATTACAATCCAATCTAAGGAAGACCAACAGCCTCACAATTGGACCCATAGCTCACATCATGATCATTTCAGAAAAGGTTGAAGTTGCCAAGGATTCTGTCTTGGATCTACAATCAGTGCTCATGGAGGCAGCAGGCGAGGGACCAAAAGATGTACTGCATTAGATAAATCTGCTGTATAAGACCTCTTTATCATACTGAAGAGCAAAAATATTACTCTGAGAACTAAGGTGTGCCTGACCCAAACCATGACATCACATGGCATCATCTGCATGTGAAAATTGGACATTGAATAAGGAAGACTGAAGAAGAATCAATGCATTTGCATTGCGGTGCTGGAGAAGAATATTAAAAGTACTGTGGACTGCTAAAAAGAACAAACCTATCTGTCTTGGAAGAAGTAAGGCCAGTATGCTCCTTAGATGCAAAGATGACAAGACTTTGTCTTACATTGGTAAAGTGGAGAGGCTGCCAAAAACAAGAAGGTCCTAGATGAGCAGAACACAGTGGCTACAACAATAGGCTCAGGCACAGGGAACAACTGTGAGGATGGTGCAGGACCATGTAGTGTCTCCTCCTGTTGTGCACAGGGTCTCTATGGGTCAGAGTCAACTCGATGGCACCTAGCAACAACACCAGTGGCTTATGCAAACTCTGAGTGGCACACATGATTTATGTTCAGCTACTAAGAAGAAAGTTGGCAGTCAAAACCTAGCCAGCTGTGCCATAGAAGAAAGGCCTATCAATCGGTTTCATTACAGATCGCTGCCAAGGCAACCTTCTATATGTGTTCTACTCTGTTGCACTTGAGAACACAGTCAAACCCCACCCAGCAGCTCTGCAGAAGAACCTTGGCAATATCCTTCTGTAACGATCACAGCCAAGAAAATCCAATGGGACAGTTAGATTTACTACCCTGTAGCCCACACTGTTGCCATAAATTCAAATCCACTTGACAGCACCATATTTGTGTTGTATTTTTTGTTTTAGTACCTCAAAACAAAACAAATGTATTACTTTAAAGGTTGGGGAATCAGAGTCCAAAATAAGTCTCCCTGGGCTAAAATCAAGGTGTCAATAGGGTTGCATTTTTCCCGGAAAGCTCTCAGGGAGAAATGATATTTTTGCTCTTTCATCTTCTGGAGGCTGCCCTCCATCTGGGGCTCCTAGTTCTCTTTCAGTCAGCAATCACATCAATCCAGCTTCTGTTGCCACTGCCACTGCCACATCTTTTCTGACTCTGACTCTCTTAACTTCCTCAGATAAGGATCTGTGTGATTACACTGGGCCCACCACCTAATCTAAAATAATCTTCAAATTCCGAAATTCTTAATCTAATTTTCAAAGTCCATTGTTCTACATATAGTAACATGTTCACAAGTTTGAATGCTTACTGCATGAACTTCTTTAAAGGGTCATTTTTCTACCTGCTATATGCACTTACTGTGTGATTCAAGACTTTAGCTGCCAAAATATTAGTATGTACCCATTCCAAAGAAAGATGATAGCATAATACTCAAAATATCACTGATATCACATGCCAATAAATTTTTCTGAAAATCATCCAACACCGGTTGTAGCAGTACATGGATGGGCAGCTGTCAGAGGTTCAAGCCAGATGCAGAAGAGGTTGGAGAAGAAAGTATATTATTGCAGACATCAACTGGATCTTGACTGAATGCACAGAATACCGGAAAGATGTCTCCATGTTTTTTATTGACTATGCCAAGACATTCAACTGTACATCATAAATGAACTATGGATAAGCTTAAGAAAAATGGGAATTCCAGAACACTTTGTTGTGTGTATGTAGAACATGGATCAAAGGGCAGTTGTGCAAACAGAGCAAGGGGATACTGCATAGTTTAAATCAGGAAAGAGGTGTGACAGGATTATATACTGTCACATTAATTATTCAATCAGTATTCTAAGCAAATAATCAGAGAAGTTGGCCATTGTGAAGAAGAATGTGGTGTCAGGATTGGAGGAATTCTTGTTAGCAACCTGAGATTGCAGATGACACTCCTTGCTTGTTAAAAACGAGAAAGACTTGAAGCATTTGCTGATGAAGGTCAAGGATAGTAGCCTTCAATATAGATTACAGCTCAATGTAAAAAAAAAAAAGACCTGGATCCATAGGAACCTAATGATAAATGAAGAAAAGGTTGAAGTCAAGGATTCTGTCTGCCTTGGATCCACAATCAATGCTCATGGAAGCAGCAGTCAAGATATTAAAAAGATGGGTTGCATTAGGTAAATGTGTTGCACAAGACCTCTTCAGAGTGTTGAAAATCAAGGATGTAACTTTGAGGACTAAAGTGTACCTGGCCATGCTATCATATTTTCCATGTCCTCCTCATATGCATGTGAAAGTTGGACATTGAATAAAGAAGAATCAATGCATTCAAATTGTAGTGCCGCCCAAGAATATTGACAGTAACACGAACTGCTAAAAGGCGAAACTGATCTGTCTTGATCTGATATTATTCTACTGAAGAAGAAGGGCCAGAGTGCTCTTTAGAGGCTAGGATGAGGAAATGTCATCATACATGCTTTGGATATGTCGTCAAGAAAGACCAGTCCCTGGAGAAGGACATTATGCTTGGTAGAGGGGCAGCAAAAAAGAGAAAGCCCTGCAAGGAGCTGGGTTGACACAGTGGTTGCAACAATGGAGCCAAGCATAGGATGATGCAGGGCAGGGCAGGGCAGTGTTTAGTTCTTCTGTGCATATGGTCACTATGTGTGGTAGTTACATAATCTGTTGTCAATTTGAGAGGATTAAGAGTGAGGTGTCGATGGGATCCGGTACCAGGTATCTAAGACCCAGAATAAAACCATGCCCAAGGTGAATGGATGGGTGGGGGTCATGGAGTGAAGACCCAATGCCCATCTGTAGACAATTGGACATCCCCTCACAGAGGGGTCACAGGGAAGAGGTGAGCCAGCCAGGGTGCAGTATAGCATCGATGAAGCACACAACTTTCCTCTAGCTCTTTGGTGCTTCCTTCACCCTACTATCATGACCTCAATTCTACCCTACAAATCAGATTAGACCAAGGTATGCACACTGCTACAGATAAGAGCTTGCAACACAGGGAATCCAGGATAGATAAACCCCTCAGGGCCAACAAGGAGAGTAGGGATACCAGGAGGATTAAGGGAAGGTGAGGGGGAAAGGGGGAAATCTATCACAAGGATCAACCCAGAATCCCTCCCTGGGGGACAAATAATGGAAAAGTGGGTGAGGGGCGACTGAGGATGATGTAAGATATGGAAAAAATCTGTAATTTATCAAGGGTTCGTGAGGGACGGTGGACAGAGGGGGAAGAAATGGGAGCTGATTTCAGGGGCTCAAGTGGGAAGAAAATGCTTTGAAAATGATGAAGGTGGCATATGTGCAAATGTGCTTGACACATTGGAGGAATGTATGAATTGTGATAAGAGATGTAAGAGCCCCCAATAAAAGTATTTTTTTAAAAAAAGAAAATAAGAAAAGTTAGCTAATGAGTATTGAAGTTGGGGGTCCTTGAATACCCAATTAAATGTTACTCTAGGAAAAAAATGATAGAGATAATACAGTTCTTAGAATACATGTAGTTTTTAGGACATTCAAAGTTAACTATTATTACTTATTTTTAAAAGAGTGAAGGGGTAGAGTTTAGCCTGTCAATCAGGTTGTAGCTTGATGACCTCATTTGGAGGCACTAAGGAGATACATAGCTTGCTTGAGGTGGGATGCACACTGTCTCCCCGGGAGATGTTACAGCTGACAAGACACATGGAGTTATGCTAGTACCCTGAGCTGGAGAAGACATGTGGAGACCTCTGCCAGCACAGAGATGTTTATAACACCACTGAATCCACTAGACTTCTCACCCACTGGCCTGTGTTTCATGAGTCTGAAGAGGACTTTATAGATTGGTGTTGGACATATGGGCTAATATTGGACTTATTGATTTGATCTGGACTGGGCTGGGATGTTTTCTTAATGTACAATTACTCTTTCTATAAAGCTCATTCTTATACACATGAGTGTCTATGAATTTGTTTCTCTAGTCAACCCAGACTAACACACTATGGGTTGGAACCTCTCGATGGCACCAACAACAGCAATATATATCTGGTTTACAAACATATTTGGTGCTCAGAATTTCAGATAAAACAATGTCGACCCAACTCTAGGCTGTGGCTCACAACTTCAGCTGCCAGGTTGCCACATCATGTTTTTTCACCACCGGTTCCAACGGTGTCAGAGTCGTCAGTCTCTGGGGAGGAGCAGTCTCCAAACCCTCTGGGGAAGACTTCGGCCAACAGGCACTATTGCTGATGAGGATGAAGAAGATACCAAGAGGGTTGTCCGAAGTGCCAAGGACCAGAGATTTGAGGAGCTGACCAATCTTATCCAGACCATGCGGAATGTCATGAAGAGTTGAGGTGTCACCAAGTGCCTGGAAGAATTTGAGCTTCTGGGAAAAGCATATCAAAAGGACAAGAGCACTGTGGACAAAGAAGAGGCTCCCAGGTTCTGTATTCGGACCTTGGCTGACCTGGAGGACTACCTGAATGCATACTGGGAGGATAAGGAAGGGAAGAAGAAGATGAACAAGAACAAGCCAAGGCCCTGAGCACCCTGCACCAGTAGATCCGCAAACACAACCGAGATTTTGAACCCCATATCACAAATCACAAGCAGAACCCTGAGCGGTCTGCAGATGAAGACGTGGAGAAGAATGAAGACTCGGAAGGCTCTTCGGACGAGGATGGGATGCTGCTGCCACACTCCTGGAGAAGAAATCCAAAGCTCCTTCCAGTGATAGTTGCACGTTCCTCCAAAAACTGGAGGATGAAGATGAAGACTCAGAAGATTCAGAAGATTGGGACCCCGGTCCCACATCGTCTGACTCAGACTCGGAGGAGGAAGGCGGAAAACAGTCTGCACCGGCCTCCAGATTCCGTAAAAAGACCCCCACCGCAGAGGAGGACAAGAAGGTGGCTGAGAAGAAGTGGGAGGACGGAGGCAAGATGATGGAAATCTCAGCATGATAGGAAATCTAAGCGCTTGGATGAGGAAGAGGAGGAGGACAATGAAGGGGACTGAGATCACCCAGGCTGGTGTTATCAAGACACTGGATGAGATCCTGCAGGGAACTGATCATGCAGCACAGCTTGAGCTGCTGCAGCTGCTGGTTCCGAGTGCTTCAGAAAACAACCTGGGGGAGGGTGTCACTGTGAAGATCAAGTTCAACATTATCACCTCTCTCTATGACAACAACCCCAACCTGGCCACGTACATGAAGCCGGAATTGTGGCAGAAGTGCCTGGGCTGTATTAATGAGCTGATGGACATCCTGTTTGCAACCCCCCAAATCTTTGTTGGAGAGAACATTCTGGAAGAGAGTGAGAACCTGAGCAATGCTGGCCAGCCATTTGCCAGTCTGTGGCTGTAGCTTAACTCTTATGGAGAAAATGGATGAAGAATTTACCAAACTGTTGCAAAATATTGAACCTCACTCCCCAGAGTACACAGCAGCATCTGAAGGATGAGGCGGTGTGTGCCATCATTGCGCATGTGCAGTGCTCCCAGGAGGAGAATGGCACCACAGAGGAGAACTGCTGTGTCTACCTGCGGCGCATCCTCCACACCTATGACAAGCTTGATTACAAGGCCCACCAGTGACAGCTTACCCCACCCCACCCCCGAGGGGTCCTCGAAGTCCAAGCAAGACCAGGCAGAAAATGAAGGGGAGGACACGGCTGGCTGATGGCGAGACTGCAAAATACATCCACGCCAAAGACTGCCCAGATCAGACCCGCACCTGCCCCCTATTCTGCCACACATACCACCATGCTCTGCACTCCTGTTGGCACCAGGCCTGTGACCTCATGCTCCTGAGGCACCTTCAAGACAACTGCCAGCATGTGGACCCACCAGTGCAGATCCTGTCCAACTGTACCATGCTGGTTAGGAAAATGGAGGAAGAGTCTCTTCAGACCTACTTTTTCACCTGCAGCAGTGTCTATGACTCCATCAGCATGGAGACTCTGTCTGACATGTTTTAGCTGACTGGCCCACTGTACGGTCCTTCATCAGCAAGATTATCATTACCGAGGAACTGATGGCCTCCCTGGACCAGCCAACACAGACAGTTTGTGATGCACTGCAAGGAGGCCACGGCCCAGCAGAACCTGGCACTGCAGCTGGCAGAGAAACTGGGCAGCCTGGTTGAGAATAATGAGCAAGTGTTTGACCACAAGCAGGGTGCCTATGATGGCTACTTCCGAGATCAGGAGGATGCTTACCACAAAAATGAGGGCTACGTGTGACGTGATGGCTACCGCCAGCAGCAGTCTCCGAAAGCCTACTAATCCCGCCAGTTGTGTCTCCGTGGCCCGGACCACTCGGTGTTTAAGTCCTAAGTCATACCCAGTTGTTAAAGTCCACTGAGAGTTGAAAAAACAAAAACAATGTAGACCTGTTATAATTTCATGTGAGGATGGGCTATAAAGAAAAACACTGTCAGATAAAGGGGCTAGAGAGTGGCTAGGAGTTGCCATATGTGGAGGGTGTTTGTATGTGCGGTGGGATTTTTTGTTTGGTTGCTTTGATAAAGGGACTTTTGAACATAAATCTTAACGAATAAGAGAGGTGAACATATTTGAAAATCCCGCGGGAGGAGGCTTAGAGTAGAAGGAACAATCAAGAGAAGGACTCTGAAGTGAGAGCATGCTTGGTATGCATAACTGTCCATGTAAATGGGAGTGAAGTATTCACTTAGAGATATGTAGGAGATGAGGCCATAGAGGTGTGCGTACATGGTGGGTGGGGGTGGGATGCAATGAGGTCACATAGAGACTGGGAAGCTGTGGTACAGACTTGGATTTGATTCTTGGGTAGGCAGGGAATCCAGGCACTGTGATTCTTGGGCAGGCAGGGAATCCAGGCACCCAAACTACAAAGATCAGCAGCACATGGATCTTTCTCATCAAGGGATGAAGCTCCTATTGCCATAATTATGGCATCTAAAGATGACAGAAGAAATGGGAGACAAATGAGGAAGATGGGACAGAGAATGGGATGGGGCTCACGAACTGACTGTGTTTGGAGGGTCAACTGGACCAAGAGGATAAAACATCAGGATAAACAGAGAAAAAATTTAAACTGTGAAGAATGTCATCTTGCTTGGCTCTTCAATCAATACTCAGGGAAGCAGCGAACAATAACATTGCATTGGGTAAATCTGCTGCGCAAGATCTCTTTAAAGCGTTGAGGAGCACAGGTTGGCCTAAGTCACACAATGATGTTTTCAATTGCCTCATATCCATGTGAAAGTTGACATTGAATAAGGAAGGCAGAAGAATTGATGCGTTTGAATTATGGTGCTGGAGAAGAATGTTGAAAGATGACCAAAAGAAGGAGTCTTTGACTAAGTACAGCCAGAATGCTGCTTTAGATGGGGATGGCAAGATATCACCTGACATGCTTTGAACATGTTATCCGGAGAGACCAGGTGCTGCAGAAGGACATCATGTTTGGTAAAGTAGAAGAGCAACGAAAAAGAAGACTCTCAGTGAGAAGGACTGACACTGCGATCCGTTCACCAGTGGCTGCAGCAAGGGGTTCAACGCTGACAGTTGTTAGGATGGTGCAGGACCTGTTCGCTCTGTGGTAAAGAGGCTTGGGAGACGCGGAACCCACCTGAGGGCACCGAACAACAACAACAGTGGATATGTTTAGCCCAGCTCCCAAATTTTAATTAGTTAAACCATTCCTTCGTCAAATGAAACCAAAGACCTAAAAATAACAACATCACATTTGAAATTACATTTTGGTTTTTAACATACTTCTAATACATCTTCTTCCTCGATGAACAGGGCTTCTGGAGACTTTTCAAAACAATAATGCACTGCTTGACCAAATTCAGAAGTGTCTAGAAGCCTATTTAGAATCTAAAAGAGTTATCTTTCCAAGGTAAGTCTCTAAATCTCAATAAATTGCCTAAGACTTTTTTTTAGTAGTTAAGACTGACAAGCCATCAATTTAAAAGAATACACTTAAAACCAAGCAAAACCAAACAATCCATGACCTCACAACACCAGGAAACCAGGAAGGGAAGCAAGAAAAGCGTGTGATCATGGAGATTCAGGTCATTTCTTGATTGGGAGCCTGAAGTTTCAAGGGCAGCAGTTTTAGTGACGGTTTTGGCTTAGGCATGTATGTCCTTCCCGCGCTAGAAGGATTCTTGATCACAGCATTGTTTCACTGTGGAGATAGGTATACATGTGTGTGCCCCCATGTGGGCATAAGTCCACAGACATGTATGTGAAAAATGAAAGAGGTCTGTTCTTTCAGTTTTCTTTCATGTGTGGCCTGTGGGTACCACTGCCAATGTTGATTCTGAAGTCATTGTAGTTTCCCCACGTTGCCAATTCCAAAGGAAATTACTTACTCATCTATTCATTCATTCACTCCAAAAAACTACTAAAAAAAAGGCCAGATTCCTACTCTAAGGAAGCTCACAGGTAACAGATGGGAAATAGTGAAGATACGCCAGTGTAAGATCATTACGTGTGGTCATAGTCTGACTGTTCGGTAGTGTACTGCAGGAGTCCTGGTGGCATAGTTTGTTCTGTGTTGGGCTGCTAACCACAGGATCGGCAGCTCGAAGCACTAGCTTCTCTGAGGGAGAAAAATGAGACTTTCAATTCTCTTAAATATTTACAGCCTCAGAAACCCAGAGGCCGTTCTACTCTGTCCTCTATAAGAGTCAGAACTTACTCGATGGGAATGCGTTTGCAGTTTTTGATTGTATGACTGAGCACCCTGAGCGGCACATGTAATCAGTGCTCTACTACTAGCTGAAAGGTTGTAGATTGAAGCCTACTCAGAGGGGCCTCAAAAGACAGACCTGGTGGCCTGCTTTGAAGACCCTATGGGGAAGTCCTACTCTGCACATGATGGGTCCCCCTGAATTGGAATCGGCTCTACAGCAATTCACCATAGCAGCAACATAGTATGACTACTCAATGGCTACCAGAGTCCCTAACTTTAGTCACTGGGGCATACCGGCTCTACGCTGGAGAACATTCAGAAAAGGATTCACCTTTCATTTTTTCTCATTCGCTGTTAAGGAAATGGCTGCTAGGATCTCTCTTGGGACAGCCACTGAGGCAGCCCGGGCTAGATTCTTATCTTGGCTACTTGGCTAACAAGCATATGTGTGCCCAAGAAATACAATATCCATAAATGTAGTTGAGTGTGAACAGTATACAGACTGGAGGGCCACTTTAAGGAAACCTGGAAGTGCAGGCAGAGTTCTCAGGAAAGCTCCACCAAGACTCTCAGCTGCTTTGAGCATGACAGGTGATTCACGCTAGGACCCATAAAACCTCCCTCTTCGGTCCATCAGGGCCTTGTGATTGACCACAGCCATCCAAGGAAAACCAGGGCTTCTCTACCTTCTAAGAGCCTCTCATGGGCAGAATCTCACCAAAAGCCTGACTGCAAAGGAATCGGAGAAGCGTCCTCCAGCTTTTCCCTGATACAGGGGCGTCATCTAGTTTACAATCAGTAATCTAGGACATTTACTAACTACTGGTTTGTATAATTTCTCTTTGAAAGATGGAAGAGGGAGGTGGGCAGCAGTGAAAACAAAATGCCTACTGATTGGATACAGTTTTCTTATGTTTTTGTTGTTAATGAGCCACCATCTTAAATCCTAGAGCCCTCATTAACCTTTCTAAAATGAATTACAATAGCCAGATAATGAGCCAAATTCCTTTGGAGTGATTAAATCTAATCACTATTTTTATCAGTTAGCTAGATCAAGGGTTGGCTTTTTTTTTTTAAATAAAGGCCCAGTTAGTAGTTATTTCAGGCCTTGCACGTCAGATGGTTTCTGCTGCAACTGGTCAACTCTTCTTCCGCAGCATCAAAGACGCCAAGGCCAGTCTGTAAGCAACTGAGCTTTCCTGTGTAGCAAAACAATCTACCAAATGAGTTAGCAGGCTGGGTTGGGTTTGTGAGCCATATTTCGACAACCACTAATCGATAACAAAATAGTTTCATCATTTCCTTAATTTGTCTCGTAGATTTAAAAAATAAACCAAAAACCTCAAGCACATGGCCATCCAGTCAGCTCAGAGAACAGAACTGCCCATTTGGGTTTCCGAGGCTGTAAATCTCTACCGGAGTCACTCATTGCTATCGAATCACTTCCCATTCACAGCAACCCTATAGAACAGGGTAGGGTGGCCCTGTGGGTTTCTGAAACCATAGCTCTTTCCAGGAATAATCAGTCAGTCTCCACTTTCTCCCAAGGAGTGGCTGGTGGTTTCGAACTGCATAACCACTATGCCACCAGGGCGCCTATATATTAAACATGTACAAAACATTTTGTTTCTACAAAAGTTACAACTTAATATAGTCGGAAATGGTGAGTTGGCCAAATTTTGTGACTTTCCTTAGTAACGGGGTGCAGTTGTGTTGGGAGGGTCACGTACTATACCTTCACAGAACCCATTCAGGTTCCTGTAGCGATCCACTCACTGTCCAGCCAGCCAGCCATTCATCGATTCAACAAATTATGTATGTATGAGATACCAGACTATGTTTTAGGGAAAACAAACAATATAAATATAGCTTCAATCTAAGAGCTTAAAGCCATGTGAGACTTTACAATTAGTCATTATAATAGCAAGAGCTAGCCTTCTTCTAAGTTTTTTACTAAAAAATGTTTCTCTTTTATGTACCAGAATTTAAGTCTATGTGTTTGAGCTCTATGGTCACTAATCATCAGAGCACTTGTGTTTCGGGATATGTGGTCTTCCTGGAAACCTAGGGCCACTCCATGGGAGGAACGGGGAACCTCGGGATGTGGCTAAGGGATTTACATTTTGTCTATCCCAGGCATTGCTTCAGCTTCAAGTTATATTTTCCAGTGTTTTCTTTAATCCAGATTTTACTTCTTGTCAAATGATGAACTTCTAGAGATTTTGGCTCAGACACGAAATCCCCAAGCTGTGCAGCCACACTTAAGAAAATGCTTCGACTCCATTTCAAAGCTCGAATTTGCTCTTATGCCTCCTGTGGAAGGGAAAATTCCTGGTGTTGAAGGAGAGCCAGAAAGAGTTTTCACTAATGATATTTTAGCTATGCTATCTCCAGAAGGAGAAAGGGTAAGATACTGTTTGTTTGGTTTGTTGGGTTGTTTTCTTTTCTTTTTTTTTTTTTTGCTTCTAATTCTTTGTGGATAAAAGTTTGTTGCTCTTGTGGTGTTGAGAGCAGAGGTTTACCCATCCCCTCTCTAATCATCAATCAAGGGCAATGATGTGCCAGCTTGTCTGCTTCTGCCATGGGGGTTCAGAAATAACCAAGGCAAAATGCTTGGCCGGAAAGAGCTCACAATCTAGTGGGAAACTGTCAGCAAGCGGCTCAAAAGTGTGAGGTCCAGCCCCACAAGCGGATGAGTCCTCAGGACGGTTGTGTGATTGAAGGGGAGAAATTCAGAGACAGGCAGAAGTGCTGGGGTGCTCACCTGCTGGTGTCAGGCACCAGGTCCAGGCAGGAGAGGGAACAAATGTGTCCTTTACATTAACTTATATAGTCTCAGGGCAAGCAAGCTCCCCTAATTACAGGTAACCACATACATAACAAAGTGAGCTGTACCCTAACTTTAGAAGTTCCTGAATTGTCGGAGGAGTAACCTAGCACCAGTGCTTTGGGCAGGGAAGGGGAAGTGAATGTCTCCTGAGCTAGAAGAAAAAAGCAACATGTCTGCTCCTATAGACAAAGCTGCTGGCCAGATTACAAATCAGCCATGTCCTTGTAGGAGGTGACTTTAGGGAGGATATGGTGAGGACTAATGTTAATAATGAAAATGTGGTTAGGGCCCATCTCTAACTCACAAGTGTGAGGGCCTCCCTCCACCCAGAACCCTGGCTTCCCAGGCGTCTTAAATATGAGAATAAAGAATTTGTCCGCATACACTCTCTTCACACTCCTCAGTTTCCCACACAAAAGCACCACAGTAAACGCGGTGATGCAGACACGAGCTCTGTGCTTGGGAACAGAGGAGAGAAAACTGGAATCACACTTTCTCAACGCAGAGGCACAGGGTTGAATGGCTAAAGGCACTGGCTATACCACCTGGGAGTAAGTCCCAGACCACCTGTGACCCCATCTATAAAATCGGAATTAATAATAACACACAATGAACTAGGAGACATGCTCACTTGGTACTAAACATAAAGTACTTAACACTGTGCACTGACCAGGTGCCACTTACCACCAGTGATGGCAGCGTGTCCTGGAAACAGCGCCAGGCAATGCACAGTGGTGTGTGTATGTGTGTGTGTGTGTGTGTGTGTGTGTGTGTGTGTGTGTGTGTGTGAGACAGGAGCCCGTGAACTGACCCTCTTGCAGAAGAACTTGCTCACCACTGGTTCAGAAGAAAGGACAGGACCGAGACTAGAATCCTAGGGAAACGTGAGGTTTAAAGGGACAGTAGGAAGGAACAGCTGGAGACGAAGACAAGCAGGCCAATGCAGTGACTGACAATCGAGAAGCGAGAAGGTTTGAACCACAAACCCTGTGGGTCGCAGCCCAATGCTGACTCCTCAATACCAGTAGGACTCCTGATAGTGACCCTAGAGGCATATAACTACCAATTCCTGCTATTAGTGTTCGTCACAGAAGTACAAAGGCCACACCCCCCATCTGCCCCATCCATGGGCAATATCCAAACTCACCGCCATCAAGTCAAATCTGACTCATAGCGGCTCTAGCTAGCTGTCCCACAGTGGGCATCTCTCGCTGTCCTGATTGCCTCCTAGGTGGGCTTGGGGAAAGGACTCAAGGCCAGAGGCAACGTGGAGGAATGGCTTGGCAAAGTGGAAGAGGCCATGTTCGCGTCTTTGCGGCGCCTGTGCAAAGGCGCCATTGCTGACTATCAGTTGAAACTGAGGACGGAGTGGGTGGTAGCTGGCCACCCTTCTCAGGTAATTTGCCCTTATTACGTTCCCATCTTCTAGTAAGCTGCACCCCACGCTCACCGGACATGTTTCCAAGCAGGTAGTCCTGACTATTTCTCAAATCATGTGGTGTCGAGATCTGACCGAGTGCTTAGAGACGGAAGGTGGCAATTGCCAAGAAGCCCTGGAAGCTTTTGAGAAAGTCAACTTTGAGGTGAGATTTGTTGCTATTGTTGTTAACAGAGTAGCAGTGTGCTAACATCATGCGATGTGGGGTGGTCTTTGAGGTTTGTATTAGCATAGGCATGCACATTTACTTTATATACGGAAATCTAGTGTTATGATGGGACCAATAAGGCTTTGGGGTTTACACGGAAACCACTTCTGTTCATGTTTTCTTAGGAGCAGTCAGTGTTTGCGTTATACACATGTAAAAGCACATGAAATATGAGTATTAAGAGAATATAAAAATAGGAAAATATCATTCAAGAGGAAGACATCGGGGTTATAATTGTTTGCAATTTGTATGGAGCAAATTGTGTTTGCTAGGTCCTGGAGCTCTCCTGAGATGAAATTCCATCCTGAGATGAAATTCCATCCTGAGTAAAGCCCCAGGTTGGCACTCTCTCTACGGCAGGATGTGCTTGTCTGCAAAGTTATGAAATCCTCCGGCAGCTGTCAGTCATCTCACACACACACACACACACACACACACACACACACACAGACACACGCACCACACACACACCTGGATGAATGTAAATACCATTCCTGGCCTGTCTGGGAAATGCTATTTTACAATGGGGCCTAACTTTTAACTCCAAATTCAATGCTACTTTCAAGCAATATTGCCTTTGTAGAAGATCATTCTTCAAGAGAAGGGGAGAACGTACCGTGTTTCCTTGTAACAAGAGAAGACGCTCTTCTTTGAGTCCTGATGGACTTTGATCTCAAGGGCTCGAGGAAGGAGCGAAAGCTCCTTAAAGACAGTGCCGCGGCCTGTTTAAAGCACGTGATCCCCGCGCCGCCGCACTGCCAGGCAAACAGGAGCCACAGAGGGAAAAAGCAGAAGCAAACGCTCCTGAAATATTGTCATTTAACCCAGCGCTGCCTTAGTGAAAGCACTCCGGTCTCCTGAGCGTTAGTGGGAAAACGAGGAGTCACTCACTCCTTCACTCATTCTCTCTCCCTCTCACTCACTCATTCACTCTCTCACTCACCCTCACTCACTCATTCACTCTCTCAAATCTCTCACCCTCACTCACTCATTCACTCTCTCAATCTCTCAATCTCTCTCACCCTCACTCACTCATTCACTCAATCTCTCACCCTCTCACTCACTCATTCACTCTCTCACTCTCTCATTCTCTCACTCACCCTCTCACTCACTCATTCACTCTCTCTCTCTCACTCTCTCACTTACCCTCACTCCCTCCTTCACTCATTCTCTCACCTTCTTACTCACTCATTCACTCTCTCAATCTCTCACTCACCCTCACTCACTCATTCACTCACTCTCTCTCTCTCACTCACTCACTCTCTCACTCACTCACTCTCTCACTGACTCATTCACTCACTCACTCTCTTGCCCTCTAATTCTCTCACTCTCACTCACTGACTCACTCTCTCACTCACTGACTCATTCACTCACTCACTGACTCACTCTCTCGCTCACTCACTCACTCACTCTCTCATTCACTCACTCACTCACTCACTCTCTCATTCACTCACTCACTCTCTCACTCACTCACTCACTCACTCTCTCACTCACTCAATCTCA